AACGTTTTTCTTACGTTAGTTTTTTTAAAATCTTCGAAACATACCAATCTAATCCACTTTTGACGTCCGATGCACGTTCGTATACTTCGTATATGATATCGGAACAACATCTTGGCGTCGAACCAGTGCGTGGAAAATTACTCAAGTGCAATGCCTTGAAGGCGAGCATCGTCCATCGATTTAGCAACCACGGCAAGCTATCCGAAGAAATCTGGTTGGACCATGCCACTCAAGTGGTTTGACGCCATTATCGAACTGACTCATGGTCTCCAGGAGGTTGGTAAGTATACCGCGCTGCTTGTGCAACATCCACCACTTAATATCATTCGAATACGGTCTATTTGCTTGTCCGAGATACACCCATCCTTTACAAGCAGGACGTTGGCGCTCTCGATAGTAAGACGACTCAACGCTCTAGCTAAACAATCTCGTATTGGTATTTGAAATCACGAATACGCCCGCCGGACACAAAATACTTCTTGGCAACAACTTGCTCTTAGTACTCATCTTTTCACCGTCTTCCTCCATTCCTTTGTCGTTTGAGCTTGGTTTGTGGCACAATCTTCATAAGAACGTGGAATTGCTTGGATGTCAAAGGACCCTTGCCCTCCAGCACGTTATCAAGATCAGCCGACTCAACTAGCTCTTTGCTGTTCTGCGTTAGAGCGTCGGCGATTCCTGTCGTTCTTCCCTGCCTTACCTGCTTGACATTGTCAGAATCGGTTGCCAGCCACTTGCTGTTGTGCCAGACCAGAAAAGTTGTAGCCTCTCGGCATCGACTTCGCCCAAGACACCTATCTTCTGATCCTTGATCGCGATCTTCAAATTCCCCACTGTCTTGCTCTGGGCGATATCGACTAGAAACACACGCTCTACCCCGATAACCGCACAGAACAGACTCGCTTCCGCCATCGTGTCACCGATACTGGTAGATTTTGCAGTTAAGTTGTTGAATAGATTGACAAGGTAAAGAAAAATGAAAAAAAAAAAAGAACGTTAGGAAAAATTCTGAAATAATAAACTTTAAAAAAATGTAACGGAACTTATTCACCTCCTATATCGAATACATGGACGACTATGTGTACATATATCTTATCACAGAGGTATTTCGTCCACAATTTCCATTTTGACATGGCCGAGGAGTGGGCGGAGCAAGCCGAGGCCTTCAAGGTCGAGGGCAACAAGCTGCTGGCTGACAAGCAGTTCGCCGATGCGGTGGAGATGTACACACGCGCGATCGAGCTTGACCCTGAAAATGCTGTGTATTACAGCAATCGCTCAGCAGCGTATTTGGCTATGGGAGACGCACGCGGTAAAGCCCTCAAGGATGCGGAGAAGTGTATCGAACTCAAGCCTGATTGGTGGAAAGGCTACAGCCGCAAGGGTGCAGCCGAGCATGCGCTACTGCGCTTTGACGCGGCGCGTGCCACGTACAATGAGGGCCTCAAACTGAATCCGGACAATACGTCGCTGCTACAAGCGTCGGAAGAGGCTTATGCTGCCGGACAAGAGCACAGTAAGCAGCTGAAAGAACAGGCTAAAGAGCAGGAAAGGGTGAGGAAAGAGGCTGAAGAGAGACGAGAACAGGAGAAGAAGAACGAGCCGAATGACGAGGACGCACTGCTGGCTGAGTTCATGTCGGAAGTACAGGAGCTGGAGGAAAACGCCAATTGTATTAAAAAGGAGGAGAAGGAGAAGCCGCCGGTGGATTTCGGCACATCCGACAAACAGATTGAGCGATTACTGCAGCCTCATTTCAAGTGGATCAACTTGAACCCATTTGGAGTACTCATGTTGGATATCGATGCCACGGAAGAGGACATGAAGCAGCATTACCGGAAGGTAAGAGGCTATTAAACTCATATTTCGATGCTGTTACAAGAGTAAATGACGTTTGTAAATTATTGCAGATATCGACGATGGTGCATCCGGACAAATGCCGCAATCCGAAGGCTCGAGAGGCGTTTGAAGGCACGAAGACTATGTTTCTATGTAGATTTCAGTGTTAATTAATTCATGTTTATGTATTGTTTTAGAGGTGAAGAAGGCGTACAACCTCATCACTCAGGAAGACCGTCGCAAGATGTTTATTCGTACGATCGAGAATGCCACTCAGGAGGTTGAGAAGGAGCGTCGTCAGAAGCTCAAGAAGGGCGTTAATGAGAGCGAACTTGGCGATCTAAAGGAAGCGGTGGACAAGGCTGTGATGCGCGCGTTTGCAGAGATCGAAAACCGACGTCAAAATATCGAGAAGCGCGAAGCAGCTCAGCGACGACGTGAGGCGGAGCAGGAGGAGAAAGAACAGGCTAAAGTCGCGAATATGTTTAAACGCGAACGCTCGTGGGCGGAAACGGACCGTCGAGAGCAGCGAGTTGGCAACTGGCGATCGTTCCAGAAAGGAGGCAAGCGACGGAAGGAGATGGATGCTCATGGATGGAAAGAAGAAACAAGGGTACGTATATGGTTTCTTGCTGTACAAAGGTTACAAGTCTAACAAATGCATTTATTTGTTGTGAACAGGACGAGAAGAAGTTCGGAGAGGCTGACAATGACGGGTACAAGCGAGGATGGAAATAATTTAGAGGCTCACGCAGCATTTCTGTCTTGTGCAAATACCCAGTTGACTCTAGTAGGGATCGATCTCCATCATGTGGTCGTCTTGGGTGCCATTGCTTGGTGCGTACTGCTGTTGCTGTGGATGCATCCCTGCTTGGCTGGCCATGTACTGTTGCTGCTGTTGATAAGCGTACTGCTGCTGCATTTGGAGAAGGAACGCGTCCAGATGACCCACAGCCTGCTGTCTACTTGCTTCCGGCCTTTATCACAGTACAGCATCAGCATCACATGCCTCTGATTACATCCTCACAATGGACTTACCCATAGATCGACAATGTCAATACATTCGACACCGATGGAGATGCTGATGCCGAGTGAGAAGGTAGTACGATATAAGTCCCTGTATACTCCTGGAACTTGTCCATCGTTTCGCCGCCTTCCCCATGCAGCATCGGTAGCAGTTCGCGTGGTACTTTATAGTACGTCACTTCCGAGAGATCGATGTTCTTGCTCCGCTTCGTTCCTTTGTGATCGACCACCATCCCGTCCTCATTCACGTTATCAGCCTCTACGTTCTCATTACTCGACTGCGTTCTATGCAGACTAGAACTCGACGACGGAGTGCCAGCAGACGGAAGCGACTCTGTTGCAGACGGCTGGAAGTTAAATACGCGCTCCATCGCACGCGGGTTGGGCATAAATTCCTTCCCCACGAAGGTGAAGTCGATGCAGTGCGAACGCACCCAACTGCTCGTCAATCTCTTGCCATGAAAAGTTCGCTAGCAATACACACATTCTTAACATCAGCATAAAGAGCTGGATACAACAACTCCTCTCTTAATTCCTTACCTTGTTGGATACATGATCCCGGAACATATCGTTCGTGACGATGAATCCGTTGTACTTGACAGCGTAGTCGATAACGTAGAAGTCGTCGTGAGCTTGCGAAGGCGTGAGGATCACGTGATCCTTCTGTACCAGTTCGTTAAGCAGCGCCCAGTCGTCCGTTTCCATGGCCCCGTTCTCCCTGGGTCCGGCACTGCCGGGCGTGGGTTTCACGTTAAGCCAGAAGTTGGGCGCAAATGCCACACACTTGACGGGATATTGTCCAGCAGCGGGTTCCAGCGAACGGAAGAACCTGATGGCGGCTGCGAGCTTGGGGATATGAGCCTTGCCATCTTTCTGACACGCCACGTTGGCTCCATCAATGACGACGACGCATTCGCTGGATGTAAAACAGCATGATAACAATCAGCATTGAAGTCCTCAATTAGAATATGCTCCTGTGGCCTCATTTTTGAAGGATAGGGGCAAAGGAGCTCGCATTAAATGGGGAAGATCCTCTGCTAACAGGTCATCGCAATGGAAGCAGTGACCGATTGCTAGAGGCGGAGATATACACATGTAAAGCTGATAACCACGTACTCGACTGCCGCCATGTTTTGTGCGAGTTTGAACACAACATGTCAGTAGGTTCAATTCCTATTTGTGATTGGTCTAAATCGGACAACCTTTTTCAACGAATTAAAGCCAACGAAACAATTCTCGCAATAATGGCCACCTCGAGGTCACCTAATGATACCCGCGTAGCCCACGTGAGCTTGGAGCCGCATGCGACGCACCTCACGCTGCAGCTTCGCCTACACGATGACCGCAAGAGCTTCTACCGCCCTTGCACTGAGAAATTAGACCGCGTACGCTACCGTCTGCAGCTTCTGGCGTCCAATGTATCAATCCCCGGAGGCTCCAAACGCAAGAACAAGCACAGGAACGGCGGTACAGCGCCCACAATCCCCGTCAAATTCCTAGACGCTGACAGCCAAGAGATTAACGCCAAGACGGCGACTGTGGGTGACGCACTGATGCGCACCAAGCG